GCCCCCGCTTCCCCACCAAGCTGCCCTCTTCCAACGTGCAAGTTCCCAAGGCCCGAAAACCGCAACCTCCACGAAGAATAGGGGTGATCCTCTAGCCTGTCCTGCCGGGCTACTTCCCTAAAGCCCTTTCGCACCCCGACCCCACAAGGGGAGGGGTGTCACCACAGCAAGGCTTCTCTCTGGTCTCCCATTACTAAGGTAGAGGGGAAGAGGGGGTGGGAAAAAAGCAGCAATCCTAGCCCTCTAACAGGAAAGGATACAAAACAGCCATCACCGCCCCCGCATCACCTCTCCCTGGACTGCCTTCCTCCTCCTCAATCCCGACTTCTCCAAAGCCCACCTTCTGCAGGCGAGGGGAACCCAATGGCAGTCCGGGTCGCCCCCTCGTGCGAGGCGGAGGACAAATGCGTAAGTGCCCCCCACCCCCACCCCCACCCCAGCTCCGCGTCCTTCAAATGCGGGAGCAGGCGTGAGGGTGGCCCCGCGTCCCCTTTGCGAGCTCCCGGGTGGGAAGGACCGCACAGCCCAAAGCCAGGCAGTGCCCGGCAGGGGGCTCCATGTCCTCAGCCCCCACCCCAAGCCTCTCCTCTACCGGGACCCGCCTTCCCTCCGCAGCCCCTCACCTGTTCCTGCTCCCAGCTCTGCCGCTGCGGCCGCCGCCTCCGCCCCCGCAGGTTCCGCTCGGCTCCCTCCGGCTCCCCCAGCCGATTTCAACGCCGCTGCTCCCCTGGCCCCGCTCCCCGACTCCCTCCTTCCTCCCCTCTACCTAGCACCGGAAGCCGCGACAGCGACAAGGGCTTGTGCGGCGCACCCCACCCCCAGACCGGGATACTTCCCACCTCCCCGATCGCGCGAGAACTGCGTGGCAGCGAGCGGCAGTTCTCGCGAGAGCCATCACCATGGCAGCGGCTGCTGCGGAGGCATCCGGGTGTTAGAGCTGAAGCCCGGGCGGGGGCGATGTGGGGGCCGAAGGCTGTGGGCAATGGAAGCAGCAGCCAGGGAATGAGGATGAAGCAGCGAGGACTGTGGTGACGATACAAAGCTCCAGGGCCACCCCTGAAATTGAAGGACTGGGGCCGCGTGCTGGCCACACTGGAGACGGATTGAGCTGAGAGCCTGGGGCACCTTGGGCAAGGCCAGGAGCAGGGTCTGAGTGCACAGGCCTTGCTGTGGCCGCCTAACTCCTCAGGCTTCATCTGGATGAACCAGGGCTACAGCATCCCCCTGAGAGCGCTCGACACCGTGTTACTGCTCAGCACTAGGTTATTCAGGGGTCGGAATCAAGATATCTTTTCCCATAGGGGAGAGAAGGGAGAGTGATGAATTTAAGAGACTGAAGGAAACATCTGAACTATGGGCCTGCTAGGAAGCCGGAATGTTGAAGGCTGAGGTGTGGTTTGAGGAAGTGTACCTGGGTGGTTATGAATTTTAGTACCCAAGGAAAGTGAGAGACTTTGCATCCATGTTCCTCTGTTCCTGCCCACCCCCACTTCCCTCGCACTCATTTCGGCACCTGCAGAGTTGTGTTGGAACACTTAAGACTGTCATCAGCCGAAACCGGTTTGGCTCAGTGGATAGAGCATCGGCCTGTGGACTGAAGGGTCCTGGGTTCGATTCCGGTCAAGGGCATGTACCTGGGTTGCGGGCACATCCCCAGTAGGAGATGTGCAGGAGGCGGCTGATCGATGTTTCTCTCTCATCGATGTTTCTGACTCTCTATCTCTCTCCCTTCCTCTCTGTAAAAAATCAATAAAATATATTTAAAAAAAAAAAAAAAGATTGTCATCAAAGAACGGCACTAGCAATGCTAAGAACAGAGGGAGGTTCTTTAAGTGCCCTCGCTCTGCATTGACAGCTGTATAAGAGAACACACGGCTCTTCCCTAAGCCCTGAGCCAAAACTTGCTTTTCTGGATTTGGGGCCTTGTTTCTTGTATCCTGCCAAGAAGGAGTAGGCTGGTAGATAGCCACACTATGTCTACCTCTTACCCCATCGATCCCTGGTGTATGCATTCACCAGTCTCTTCCTCATATCCCAGTCTGTTTTCTTCCATATTTTAACCTAGAGAATAACCTGACCCTAGAATGTGAAGACAAGAGGATCCTACTTTAAGATGGTGAGGGATGAGATGGATAACAAGGAGCATGTTTATAACTAAGCGTTGTATCTGTCCTGAGCTGTAGCCCTTAAGGGCTTTTACCCTGCTACGTTTTATATTTTAAGTGGCAGAAGACTCCTCCAGTGTTATTACAGACTCCTAGAGTGGGTCTTGTGATACCTCCACATAATTACTTTACTTTTTCCATTTCTTTTCCTAGAATTTTCTCACCCCACCAGGTTATGCCCCCACCCACACTGATCACAAAAATTATCCTTAAAAAACCCTTTCTCTAATACCCAATGACACTAATGTGACTTGTGGCATTCTTAGAGGAGGTGGAACTTGTCAGTGGTACTGCCCAAAACTTCAGATCCTCTCAAGGTTGGGTCCCAGGTGTGACAGAAGGATGGAAATGGTAAGCAGCAAGTACCATGGTATTTGAGTCAGAACTGATGAATGGAACTAGAGAATCTCCCAGCTCTTCTGTCCTTCACTCCTTTGGAGTCTCGAGAAGAAAATGTCTGTTGCAGCATCACTGGGTGCTTCCCATGGAGCAAACAAGTGCAAAGATAGGAGGGGTGCTGCCCAGTTGGCAACTAGCCAATCACTGCCACTCTCCAGCTTCCCAACCACTTGAAAGGCTAAGGGAGAAGAGCTCATCTAGAGCTGAAGGAGGCACAGACCTGACTTACAGTTCATCCGTCTTTCTCCCTCCCTCTGACTTCCACTGGAGCTAAGTAAAAGCTGAAATTGTAGCCACCCGCTCTGTGGGTTGCACACTCCCACTCCTGCCACTGACCCCAGGCCTGGGCCTGAGCCCAGAGCGTGTGCCTGGAGCAGGGGTGTGGAAGGGGGGAGGGGGTGTTGGCCCTGCTGACAAAATCCATTTGGAATTTCTCAAGGTTGTGGTTTGGGGCTTAAGTTTGCCACAGAGTATGTGTGACGAAAGATGAGAGCTAGAAAGAGAGAAGGAGTCAAAAGGACTACAGAGGAAGGAAACCAGAAAAAGCTAAAATATTCTTGCTGTGACTCCATTGGAGATTCTCCTTGCTCTTACTGAGTATGCAAAATTCCCATCTGGATATTCCTTATCATTATTCTCTCTCATAATCTATGTCCATTCTAGCTACATCCCTCTCTCTCCCCCACTATCCTCATATGCTCACCAGATACAGTCAGTGCCTAAGTAAGGATGAGATATCTTCCTGCCTCCATCAAATTTCCAAACCCAGAATTCTCAATATTCAAATGGAAATTTAGGACATAAAATTTTGCCATAAAGTACTTCCCTAACCCAACACTCCTCAAAATGTTCTTACTGCCCTGGTGTTACCATCATTTCACCTGATTTTGAGAGTAATTTGGGCAGCAGATATATCTATTGCCTAGAGCAATAGATTTTCCACCTTTTTCATCTCATTGCACACATAAACTAATTACTAAAATTCTGTGGCACACCAAAGAATATATTCTTTGCCCATCTGACAAAAAAAAATAGGTATAATTTTGATTCATTCACCCTGGACAGTTATTGTGTTAGCTGTTGTAGTTTTTTTTATTTGACAATTTAAGGAAAAAGAGGTCAGTGCCCCTGACTAAATAGTCAAGTATTGCATGTTTAAAAAATTCTTGAGATTCTGGCCAGATAGCTCAGTTGGTTGGAGCATCGTTGCATCCCTTACTCCAAAGTCCATGGGTTCAATTCCCATTAAGGGCACATACCTAGGTTGCAGGTTCGATACCCATTTGGGGTGTGTATGGGAGGCAACTGATATCCCCCTCCTCTCTCTCTCTCTCTAAATAATCAATTTTAAAAATTATTGTGACACACCAGTTGAAAATTACTGGCCTAGAATGTAAAATGTACTTCTCTACATTCTACATCAGGGGTCCTCAAACTTTTTAAACAGGGGGCCAGTTCACTGTCCCTCAGACCGTTGGAGGGCTGGACTATAGTTTAAAAAAAAACTATGAACAAATTCCTATGCACACTGCACATATCTTATTTTGAAGTAAAAAAAAACAAAATGGGAACAAATACAATATTTGTATTTGCATGTGGCCCGCGGGCCATAGTTTGAGGACCCCTGTTCTACATTTTAGTTGTACATTCCTTGGCCAAGGAGATGACCTGTTAGAATCAGGATCTTGCAACCCCATAAGCAGTCACTTTTCCAAGTGAAAGATAATGGTTTGTTTTAAAAAAATATCAGGCTAGGAATAGAAAGATTGGAATAAAAGACATTATCTTTTCCCTAGTTATGGTTTCTTCTAAAAGATAAAGGAATTATTTCACTAAGATTAAAATTAAATGCAGAAGAGCTCTGAATAAGGACGGACAAAATACATATGCAAATAATTCAGTGGGAGGGCATGCTGGTGTTGCTGGTTTCCAGAGCAAAAAAAAATTCCCTTTTGAGCACAGGAATCCCTTTTATATGTTTCCCATTAATCTTGTATCTACCTCCCAAGTTCTCTGATTTGGAGCCAGAGAGAAAAGCACCTGCTCTTTTGGGTGCAGGTTCAACAATGAGATACCTTCAGGACTTGAAAATCCCAAAACATGCCCTAGCCGGTTTGGCTCAGTGGATAGAGCATCAGCCTGCAGAATAAAGGGTCCCAGGTTCGATTCCAGGCAAGGGCATATGCCTGGGTTACGGGCTCGATCCCCTGTGTGGGGCATGCAAGAGGCAATCAATGATTCTCATCATTGATGTTTCCATCTCTCTCTCCCTCTCCCTTCCTCTCTGAAATCAATAAAAATATATTTATATATATAACAAAGAAAACCCCAACACAGAGGTGACCTCAAAGTGTGGGGCAGGGGTCAACAAACTATAGCCAGAGGACCAAATCTGGTCCTGCAGTCTGTTTGTGTGAATTGTGTTGGAATCTTTTTGTTTATGTATGGTCTATGGCTGCTTTTGATCTACAACAACAGAGTTGAGTAATTATTGCAGGGTTGAGTAGTTGTGACAAAACCCACAAACCTAATATATTTACTATCAAGACCTTTTCGGGGCGGGGGGAGGGGGGGCAGCTAGTCCTTGTTCTAGGGCAGTGATTGAGGCAATCCCTAGAGTTGAGGCACGTAGAGAATAAATAAAGCCTATAATTAGGTCCCACATTAAGAGTTGCCAAATAATTCACTGAGGCCCATTTCAAATCCTCTGTGGGACCAGCAGGCTACACATAGATAAAGTCATTGAGTGTAGTAGGGTAGGAAAATTCACCTGGAAAAGAAGCCATGGACTGGGATCCCAAGTGTGGACAGAAATATCACCATCTGCATCCACCAGTCCAGTAACTTAATTTATTTTAGTTATAAACAGGAACCAAGAACAAATCTCAGTACAATAAATTATCCATTCCCACCCCTCCTGCTAAAGAAAGAAAGAGAGGCTCAGAAAGTTGTAGGTAAAACTCTTCCTTTGGAGGCTCCCCTTTAACATCTGAATGGGGGCGGGGGGAGGGAGGGCGGGCAGACAGCTTCCCTAAGGGCCTGGACAGATGACTCTGAGAACTTAGGGGAGAGCATCCCCCCTCAGCACTCTGTTCCATCCCTAAGAAAAACCTCTCTACCTCTGTTTCCCATTACCCCACAAGAGGGGGCTCAGGCTGCAGTAGAGGAGTTCATGAACAGCAAAGAGAGTGAGTGGTTTCTTTCTGGATATAGGAC